TCATTGTAAAATCAATACATTCATCGTTGCACTCAGAATCTAAAATCATGATATTTATGAAAATAAAATGTTGAAAAGTCAACATTTTCACAAAAATAAACTCTATAAAATGGCCATCTTCAACTGTTTCAAAAATAAAAAATAACTTTTTTAGAGTTAAAATCGGTTTCAAAATTCGAACTTTAAATGATCATAAAAAAATGATAAATTGTAAATATAAAATTATAAATTTTAAAATATTAAGAATACATACTCACATTTTTTTATGATCATTTAAAGTTCGAATTTTGAAACCGATTTTAACTCTAAAAAAGTTATTTTTTATTTTTGAAACACTTGAAGATGGCCATTTTATAGAGTTTATTTTTGTGAAAATGTTGACTTTTCAACATTTTAGTATGTATTCTTAATATTTTAAAATTTATAATTTTGTGACAATATGTCAGGAGCCTTCTGTTATATTGTTTAGCTTTTTTTACCCAACTTATACAATTTTATTGACATTCATAGAAAAAAAAACTAAAACAATTGAAATTTGAAAATGTCTGTAAACAACTCGAAACAAGTCAAAATATTTTAAAGACTTTATCGAGTATATAAAACGATAAAATACACATGTGAAAATTTCAAGTGTCTACGATTATTTGTTTTTGAATTACAATAAAATAAGAAAATCGCTACATGAAAAATCGAGTAAATAATTGGTAGGTATTCAAATATGTTGTAAAAATTTGAACTTCAACGCTTATAAAAATTTAATTTGACTTTCCGGTAGACATTATTTAGCGTTTGAACATTTTACAATGTCAGTTTCTATATGAGAAACACCCATATAACTCCGGGACAGCTTAATATTGTAACGTAAATAATATGTTTTATTTTATAATATAACAGTAATCATGGCAATCATTTATAAACAAAAATTTCCATCAGAAATCTCAAAATCACTTTTTGAGAACCTCACGGGGTTGGTCCTCTCCCTTTTTAAATTAGCCTATCTTCTGCCCAGAGGTCTAATCTATCTGTGTCCAAAAAATCTATATGTATTCAAGTATTATTCTCTGCCATACACGACTAGATCTACTCCATGGTATTAGCTCTTAGGGTTAGGATCGCGGTTTAGTCTTAACTGCATGTCTGGCGTCTGCATACAATATACACATGATATTTAAGTACATTTTCTATGATATGTATGTCAATACTGGTCTACCAAACATCAGTGGCATATTTAAGTCGGGGCCCCAATTTAATTCCAAGTTGGGGAGGCCACAGGATCTGTACCATTACATAAAAAAATATTCAAATTTCTTTTAATTAAATAATATTTAGGTACATTGAAAATAATTTGATTAGAAAAATACGAAAAAATATTATTGTACAGCGACGGCGTATAATCATGGGTTATTAGATCTTTAAATGGGTTTCTGGTGGCTGTTATAAAAATAAATTATCATGGCGTACCTATCGCTTAATATTATTTGCTCGATGGTATTAGATGAAATTGAATGCTCTTCGCGTAATAATAGCAGCACCACGATGACTACAAACTGTTGTCTACGGTACGAAATTCTGATTATCTTTGATTATAAATATTTTATAATCGATGTTAGTATTATTACTTGACGAAAATCGTGATCATATTTGAGTACATTATTTTTGTTCCTTAGCGTCTTGCGTGCATGTTATTATTTCTCATAACTCATAAGTTATTACTTTTTGAATTATTATTGAATTAACACACTATCAATACTCAAGGTAGTCAATTAATAATGTCTAAACGTGTACATTTAAGTGAAAATTTAAAAAGAAAGTTAAAATCACAGCTTGTTGAAAAAGAAAAATCACTCCTTCGAATAATTTATCATTTAGAGACAATAATGAAAAAATCAACACCGAAAACCATGGTAACTCAAGAAAATGGGGCATCGTACCAATATTTAAAAATCAAAGACATAGAAAAATAAAATTTATATTGATGAAATTTATGTAGTCCAAAGGTTAGAATCACCTGAAAAAAATTGAAGTTGAAATATTTAAGTTAACACTTGATTGTGATTTGTGGTATTACCGAAATGGAATTATTTACGAAGCACGATGTCAAAGGAACGGCTGAGTGGCTTGTCAATTATTTCCATCGAAAATAAGCGGGCACAGCAATTACATTTTGATGAAGTCATTGACAAGTTTGCTCAAGTGAAGACTAGACAAGTTAATTTTTAATTATATTATATAATAATACTTAATATTTTAACGTCATTGTTTTTGTAAATTTATCAGCAGTAAAATAATACAGTTACCTTTACATGCATTTTTTTTACCTCATAAAATTACTGTTTAATTTTTACACTAGAGAGGGCCACCAAGTTTCATGCTACGCCACTGCCAAATTTACGATCTCGCAACTGCCTTCATTTTAACTATAGGTACCTAAATTCGTACTGTGTAACTCGTCTAAAATCCGTTTAAATGACTTACTCGGTACTACCACTCTATATCCTAACATTAAACAGCTTTGCCATACCGATAAATCGGTACGCCTCTGTATGGTTTTAAATCGTCGCTAATCGATTTTGGTCATCCATGAGGCACATAATAATAAACTTAACGAATAATTTTATCTCTATTAGTTTGTAATTTAATTGTGTTATGGTTTATCGGAAAATATTCGAATTCTATAAATGCGATATATGTGCTTTGCGGTTCACTATCAACCGAAATGCCATATTTTCCCTTAATTGATAATTTCGAAAGTAAATCCGACGTACAATTATCGTTTCCTTTAATATACCTACTAAGTTTATACTGAAATCCCGCCAAGAAAACTGCCAATCCCTGAAATCTTGCCAATGCCATAGTCGGTACCTATATTTTTGTTTTTTATAATTCAAATATGTTTTGCCGTTTCTGGTTCCAAAAGTCCAATTTTGAATGACATTTTTTTGTTTAAGTAAATATAATACCTATTAAAATTGATAACTTCATCAGGTAGATTACCTACCGACCATATAAAAATGTTAATGACTACCTATATTACATTATTGTAAAATTAAAATTATATAAGTATACTTTTTTAAGGACGTTTTTTATTTAGTTTTTCTTTTTTTAGTTAATAGTGTTATGTTTATAATAAATGGCTATAGAACATTGAGAACGTTATACCTTTTTGGTCGAACGATTGAGAACACTTAAAATTAACTAAGAACTTCCCGTTGACAACAGTGCTCGAATTGGGAATTATTAAGTACAGCAGCTCAATCCAACAATTTATAAACTGCGTTTCAAGTGCAAAATTACCCAACGCCGACCCGTGGGGGGGCTATTTGCCCCCCACACACCCCTTGACCAATTCTTAATTTTGCAATGCTACATTTCACCTTATGGTTTTATAGTCTTGTAATAAGCTCAGCATGTTACTAGTTAATGGTTTTTGAACCCTTTACTAACTATCTGATGGGGCCTATGATAATTCCATAGATTAAAAGTTTATTGTGAAGTAAGTAGAAATACTTCAAGCTTATAGATAAATATGTAATCTTATATATTATGTTCGATTTAATAATTTCAATAATAATATAATTGTAAAAAATATATAATATATATTATATAATTTTTTTATTATTAGATAATGTAATTTTAACTTATTAATAATAATATATATTTTAAAGTTTTTGAAGATCTTAAAAAAAAACACATCTTTTTTCCAATTTAAAATAGAGGGAAAAATTAAAAGTTTTCTACATTTTACCACATGTCTTAAATAATGATTAGGTAAGTACTATGTTATTTACATCTATTATTTTTATTACTCATTTTAAAATGTTATTAATATTAAATAATTTCATAATATTATTATTATAATCATAATATAATATTTAACAGTATTGCATTAACTGTAGTAGGAAAAGTAATGACTAGAATACCAAAATGTTGGACCATTTTGAAGAAATAAAGTGATTTAAAAATTAAATATCCTAAATAAAAACATTAATTCGTACATTTTTTTTTCAGTCTTATAAATTACATTGTACAAACTTTAACAAGATACATTTTTATCCAGATTAGATCAATCAGCAGTTGTAGTGATTATGATTTATGACTCCCGTGATAAAAAAGCTCATACACTTAGGAACACAATTGACATAATAAATTCTAGTAGATACAACTTCTTCATGTGGTCCGCAAAATCCTGCAATCAAATTTATGCTTGTTCATTGTATATTAATGTAGGGTAGCCGCTCTATTATTATTATTTATATGTGTGACTCAAATTATAATCGATTAAATTTATACTAGCACTACGAGTATACGAGTAATTAACAACTAATAATCTTGTATACCTACACTGATAACTGTAAATAAGTTATATTCTATTTATTATAATTTATGATGTATAACTGTATTACAAAGTTCAAGTGCAGTATGACAGTTATCTATAGTATAGAATAGTATACTCACGTCTCACATATTAATATAAAATAAAAATATATAAAATCATTTGTACTATTATTAATTTATATAATTTTTTTATCCATAAAGTTTATGATTTATAAATGGATAAAATATGTAAATTGCTTCAACATTAAATAATTCATTAAATAATAATAATAATAATAAAAAATAATAAAACAAATTGGTAAACATTTTACTGGAAAATCAATTATCTACAATAAGTAAGTACAAACATGTAATCCAGGGTTAACTCAATATTTGAAATTTAAAATAAAAAAATTCTAGTTAAATAAATATTACTATGCTTACAACTTACTATACAAAACAGAATTTAAAAAATACTTAAGTGATGCGTTAAATTAAATCTTTAGGTAGTATATTAAGTTTTATTTTTTTAACAAAATATGTTTAACCTAAACTAATAAATATGATTGAATTTAATATTATTTTACAATACTTAATTTAAGATACTTTTTAACAGAATAAAATCTAAGCAAAAATGATAATGTATTGTACACAATTTAAGATTAATAATAAATTAAATAAATGGTTCAATCTAATGTTATAACACATAAAACTGATTTCACTTTTTCTTGAATATTTTTACCTTTACTCTCAAGAGAGTCATTAATATTAACCGAGTTTGTATTGTTTGGAAGGTTAAAATTATTCAATATACAGTTTGATCCTATTATTGATGATGACCCAGGTATGTCATTCAACATAATAATTGAATTATCTGAAGCTGATGGTGTAAACCCATTATTAATAATGTCACATTTAGTAGAACTGATAACATTTGTTTTTATAACCTCTACAGTTTCTACAATATGTTTAGATTTTTTTACTTCTGGTGGATTATATTTAAAACGTTTAGATTTTGGTTCTATCTCTTCATTATCAAAATTGTCATTAATATTATCTTCATCAGAATCTATCGATATTATTTCTTTGTTATTTAAAGATGTATTCATAGGTTTACTCTCAGTCCATGTGCCATCATTAAGTAAAATAATATTTTCACTTCCTTTACTTAATTTTGAACTTTGAAGTATTCTATAAAAAAATTCATCAATTTCTATGTTTTCATATTTAACTTGTTCCTTACATATTGGGCATTCCCATTTTTGCGTTTGTTCATTCATCTGTAGAAATTTTTTTGCATCAAAACACTGCAAATGTTTACATTCTTTACCTCTTGCCGGCACTTTCATTCTTTGTGTGGTTAATGGATCTTTGAGAGAAACAATGAAGGAGTCTACACTCATATCGTCATTATTTTTTAGGGAATTTTTAATGAATTCTTTAGTTACATCAGATCTACGTAAATATCTTTTTTTAATCTCTTTAAGCAGATCTTCTGATGTTACTTTTTCGGATAAAAAAACACCAGCTACATAAGTATGTGGATCATTTGAATACGTGATTTTTAATGTGTGTTTATTTTTTTTAAAATTGATTTGTTTAGTTATATCTATAGGGACATTCAATCTCCATGGAGTAGGATCGCCAGTTTCTGGAAAGATTAACTTAGGTAACTTACAATCATAGTTATTTACAGAAACATGAATATTAGAAGGTAAACGTCCATTAACAATGGTTGTATGTCCAACTTGTTCCAATCTTAAAACTATTTGAATTTTATATTCTTTTCTTTCAGAATCCCATGATTTTTCAATGTAATTTGGAATATCTTTTATTTTACGCAGCTTAGTTAAGTAGAAAGTACTAATATTATTACCCTTGCAGTGAATAGGATTTAATAATGAATGTATGGTCCTAAAGAATGGTAAATTATGTGAAAAACGTATGGTTTGATTTGTAGTTTCAATAGAATTTTGTTGATATTTTTGTAAAAGTTTCTTTATTCTTTTAATCCGTCCATGCTGCGGTTGTTGCATTTCACTTTGTTTTGATAAATGGATGAGTAGAACTTGTTGTTCTAACTCTTGCATTAATGATGTACGAGGACCATTAAACAGGTCCAAAATCCTCTTTTTTACAATATAATTGGGACCAAATTTGTTTTGGTTAATACCTTCTAAAATCTTTCTTAGTTCGTTAGATCTCAATTCGGACATCAACAAACGAATATATGCCATATCTTTCTAAAACCAAATAACAATAATAAATTATAATAGAACAATTTGTAACTGGTTTAATGACTTGTTATACATTAATAGTTCAAATTATTACTTCATATAATATAATGTCTATACATTGACACATTGTTTACATATCCATTATTAGGTGAGAGTAAGGGGGGGGGCTAGGCTCCATCCAAATACTTATCTAGTCTCTACATAATTTGTGTCTTTACCTATCATGTTTAATATTATCAATAAAAAAAGGTGTTCTGCTGTACAAGTGGGTCATAATGGATGGATTTAAATTTGAATTCAATGATATAATATCATTGTATAAGAAAAACGATTCTGAGCAAAGACGGTATTTCAGTCTAGGTTTAAGACATATTATATACATATCTATGGTATTAAAAAAAACCTAGACCTTAAATAGGCACCAATAATAAATTACAAAATTAATCATACCACAATATCCATTAGGTACTTATAACTCGTTATACATCAACAACAAACCCTGATGCTATCATAGATTATATAATAGTAGTACCTATACTTTATATGTTTCAAGTACCAACGAATAATATTATACAATCACAACAAAATAACTAAAATAGTTATTCTAGGTTTTAGATTCTGAGTGAAACGATGAATGTATTGATTTTACAATGATGTGTGTTTTATTTTTTATTTTTTTTTTTTTTTTGTGTCTGTCATCACGTTTTAGGACAGTAAAAGTGCTTGGATTTTCTTCATCAGTAGCTTTTCTGATAGGAAAGTGAATCTAGTTGGTACTTTGGGGGGTCAAAAGTATAAATTTCCCAGTAGTTTTCACAAGCGCCGGGAAAAAACAACATAAAAATTAAGGAAAAACGGGAATTTTTACGCAAAATTGGTTTTCCAAAAAATCGATCCAACATTGGATATTCACTCGATTTCCCATGTAGCGATTTCCTTATTTTGTTGTAATTCAAAAACAAATAACTGTAGATACATGAAAATTTCACTGAATGTTTATATTAGAATTTCCTATACACCATACAATTTGAATATTTGACTCTTTTTGAGCTGTTTATGGACATTTACAGCTTTCAATTTTTTTTAGTTTTTTTTTCTATAAATATCAATAAAGTTTTATCTGTTGGGCCAAAAAGTGTAAAAATTTAATACAAGGCTCCTGATATATTGTTACAGTAGCAGTTGAAAAATATTAAATATTCATAGGCACAGTTTTTTTTTTATAAGCATTTAAAGATTTAAACACAAAATTTATCAAAATCTCGAAAATTATCAATCATTGAAATTAATAAATTATAAAATGTTCAGTTTTTATAGCTAAGGATTGCAAATTTAAAACAAAGGTTCTCATAAATAGTTCATACTGTAACCAAAAAATCTAAAAAATATATGAACACAGTTATTTTTTACAGACATTTTAAGTTCAAATTTGGACGAAATTACATAATAAAAAACCTAGAATAACTATTTTAGTCATTTTGTTGTGAGTGTATAATACTATTCGTGGGTACTTGAAACTTCTAAAGTACACTATATTATATATCAATGATAGTATCAGGGTTTGTTATTGATGTATAACGTGTTATAAGTACCTAGTGGATATTGTGATATGATTAATTTGGAATTTATTATAGGTCAATTTTTTGTTTAATACCATAGATACGTATATAATATGTCTTATACATAGACTGACATACCGTCTCCGCTCAGAATCGTTTTTCTTATACAATGATATTATATCGTTGAATTCAAGTTTAATATCATCCATTACAGTGACCCACTTGTAACCTACTGTACAGCAGAGCGACACCCATTTGCCCACCTTTTTTATTATGTAATTTCGTCCAAATTTGAACTTAAAATGACTATAAAAATAAACTGAGCTCGTGTATTTTTTAGATTTTTTGGTAACAGAATTAACTACTTACATGGAATCTTGTTTTCAATTTTCAATCCTAAGATAAAAAAGTTGAACATTTTATACATTTTTAACTACAAAATAAGTATTCAATTTTAAATTTGATACATTTTGTCAAAATTTGATGTTTAAATGCTTATAAAAAAAAATTGTGCCTATGTATTTTTAATATTTTTCAATTGATTTTGTAACAATTTATCAGGAGCCTTGTATTAAATTTTTACACTTTTTGGCCCAACAGATAAAACTTTATTGATATTTATAAAAAAAAAAAACTAAAAAAATTGAAAGCTGTAAATGCCCGTAAACAGCGCAAAAAGAGTCAAAATATTTTCAAAATAGCTGCCAAGTTGGTATATTAGTCATGTTCGTAAATATTTTGGATAGACTAGTAAAAACTTCAATGTTGACATATTATTTTTGTATTCGTTTAAGTTTAAATAATATATGACATTATGAACACTATAATCAACTAAACTAATACTTACGTCAATAATAATAATAATTATGAACAAAAAATAATATTTGAAAATACCTAATTCTATTTGGCAAAAATACTTTTTTTTTCATCATTTGGGAATTTAACCATTGTTTTAGTTATTAACAAGTATACTTTTAAAATTGATTAAATTCTGGAATAAAAATCTTCACTTAATAAATGTGTTAACAAGTTAACTTATAGGTACTACGTGGGGAAGATGCCTGCACCTACCTAATCTGAGTCGCATATACTGTAGCGAAAGTAGTACCTATCTACAATATTTATGATCAGTTAGTTTAATAAGTTTTAACAATAATATAATAAAAGAAATACTTACAGGGCTTAGAACAATATTACTTATCGATCTCTCCATGGCTTTATATTCAACAATTGTCTATGATTTGATAACCTAACTACACAACCTGTAAAATAAAATGGAAGATTACATTCAAAGTTTCAGAATTCCATCCTTGGAACATAACCCCACTTATTAGTTATTTTCAAGGCTTGAATCAAAAAAAATACCATTTACTGTTGTACCTATAAATATTAAACTGTTTAACGTTACAATAAATACCTACCTATTCAAATTATTTTTTTAAACTTTTTAAAAATTGTTAACGTTATTCAATCTATGCATTTAGCATCAGAACAATGATAGTGCTACAATAAAAATAATATTACCTATGACTAGTGCCAACCAATGTATATAATCAAAATTTCATTCAGTAGTTTTTAATAATAAGAATACAATATAAATATTAAAATATTAAAATAATATTATTATAAATAAAACAAATTACATGTACCTAGCATAAAAATAAGTAAGTAATAAATCATTTATCCTACATCCTAAAATTTTGTTTTTTTATTTGGTCATTTTCTTTTTATGAAATCTTAAAATACATAACAATATTCTAATTTCTATATTATACTAGCTATTATACTAGCAATTAAAATAAATTATAATATATACCTAAAAACGAATTAATTTAATTTCAACTTTGAAAATTAATTTTATTAATTAAAATATGAAATTTTCTATTAAATTAACCAAAACTTGTAACTAGGTATTGTGTATACCTACTACTTTTATATTAAATAATCTTTTTTCCCTCACAAGTTTGTCATTTGTTCTGCAGAAAAAAAAACCAAACCTTTTATATACAAACATTAAGGAGTTATTTTTTTAAAGAGCAGTTCAAGTGGAACTGTGGAACATGTTCAATTATTTATAGTTTGAGTAGGTAGACTATGGCACAATGAGGTTGTCCTTCTTAAACTTAGACAAATAATTCACAAATAATATTATTTTGTTGTACCTTTAAGGAATTAAGAATATTTGTATGGGCACCACCCCAGATTACCCTACCATATTGCATTATAAATAAGTATAAAGAAAGATAGACTTTCCTCAAAGTATGAAGTGAAATTATATTTTTCAATTTATAAATTTTAAAAATTATATAGGTAAGACAGCTTAATTATTAAACTATGTATAATATGGAGATAATTCCACGTTACAGCTAAATAAAAGTCCTAAATATTATATCCTTTTGACAAAATTAATTATTAGGCATTTACAGTTTGATGAGTTAATACACATTTATGGATAATAATTTCTTCAAACTTCTGGTACAAAAATAAAATTTGATCAATTAAATTTACAATACAAAGCATTAACTGACCAGACAATGCATACCTACACTCACAAACAAATAACATGAAGACAGCCATGTGAACAGTAGGCAACTTCCCGGTCACACAAGAGAGCAAAGACACGTGTTATACAACCCACTAAAATATATCCTAATAACTGACTAGTGTAATGACTAATGAATAAATAAATACATAATAGGAAATGATAATTAATGTTTTACACAATATTTACCAGATTAAAAAAGATTTTTTTTTTTTAAATACATAGATCTTTTAAAACTGTTAATTAGTTAATAAAAAAAAAAAAAACCACAGGCAGAAAAATCCATACCGTTAAAAGGTCAAAGAACAAGTAAGTTGTGTAAGTCTTGTGGCCGCCGCACTGTAGTCTGCCGCACTGCCGAACTTCCACAGCGTATTTTCCGTATTGGACGAATACCGAATTTTATAGGTACACGCAATAAGAAACGATAGGAAAATTACGGAAACATAAAAGACGAACAACAGATTACATTGGATGAAACATGAAAGACGGCGACATACACAAGAATACGGCTGATCGAAGCGAAAAAACGGAATTCTCGTATCCAACCTGTAGGTACTATAGTGGCAGTAGAGTGCGCTAGTAGAACTCGACTTTTCGTCAGATTTGATAAGAACTTTCGGCGCCGCTCAACGCAGCAGCTGTGATCCAACGTAGGCCGTCGTGCAACCATCTATATCCGTGATGTACCTAATACAGCATTTATTGATTTTTTATTATTATAATCTAAATGGTGAAACTTATGAATAATTGCTATGTAACGTTTTTTTTAAGACCAACTTAGACCTACCTAAGACAAAAATATATAATTGTTCGTTTGATTCGAATTTTATGTACAATTTAATATAATATCAATGCATGCGTTTTATTACGATTTACTGTCACTGCCAACGAATTAC